GGCATTATAAATAGTTTGTATAGAGATCAAGCTTTGTTTTTAGTCTTTTGTTACAAAGTAAACTTCTCTATGTATTTGGTATCTAAACCAGCAGTGTTAGGTGATGATATAGGTCATAACAATTTTTTGATATGATCATGGTCATATAATCATATGACTTTTTGGTTATAAGTCATATTGGTCATATCAAATATTAGTAAAAATATTTTTTATTATAAATCTTATTATATTAAAAGATCATAAAGTTATATCAACTTTTATTATAACCAAATAATCTATGATAGGTCATAAAGGTCATATAGGTTATTTAAGGTCATCAGCTAATATTGCAAATTAAAAAAGTCTTTGAAAACAGCAAGTAGAAGAGAAAACTTCAAGTTTGTATAAAGGTAGAAGGCTATGAAGAGCTTTTAAACAATACTTCTTAGTTTTTTTGTTTTTTTTTTAAAAAAAAGCGAGGCTGTGCTTCTGTTCCTTTATTAGAATTTATATGATATTACAAATACAGTATTATTACAATACTTTATGTTTTCTAATTTATATGGAATTAAAGGCTAAAGCTACTTTACTTTTGACTTAAGTTTTTGCTAAAATAGGTCAATAATTTCATTAATCTATGTATAGAATATTGAGTGAGGAGGTATTTGCTGTTATAAAATCACTAAACTAGTAGTTATATTTATATTTTTTATAGTAAGCTGGGTATTTGGATTGATGTTTGTTTATGATCAAAATTGGAGACTAAAGACTTTGTATAGCTTGGTTTAAGAGTGTGCATCTTGCTTTCCAAGTTATCTTTTGAATTTCTTTGATGATATAATGAAGAAAGTAGCAGGTGGTATTTTTTGTTGTATTGATGTTTGCTTGAGAATTTTTGTTAATAATAATATTATTTGTAATAATTTCAAGTGGTGCAGATTGTGATTTGTATATAAACTTTTGTAAAAAGTTTTGTTTGAAGTTGGTAGTATTTAAATTTATCTGATATTTTTGTATTGTTCGGTTGAGAGCTTGTATGACTATTTCTTCAATTAGATGCATATTGATTGTACATATAAGCTAATGTTGATTATCTTCATTTATTTGTGTACATCTGTGGTATATAGGGTTGTTGTATTTTGCTGGGTGTCGAATATGTAAATTAAGAAGTATTGAAAGTTCATTAATTATTAGTTTTATTTTGAAGATTTGATTTTGGTTTGGGTAGGATGTGTATGTTAGCTTAAAGGGCTGTTATAATAGTTTATAAAGTTGAAGATAAGTTCTCAGTTGATTTCTTTTGGATCTAGGTTTCATAGATGTATTCTGTTTAGGTTGTGCTAATCTGTTATATTTTTTGTATTTTGTAGGTGTTTTAGTAGTTTCTTCAGGTTGTGTGGAAATGTATGATAGCTAAGTTTAAGAGTATAGGTGTTGTGCAGTATCAGCTCAGTGTTGATTTTGATAGCAATAGTTGTGCTTGTAGTAGTTAGTTTAATTTAGAGACCATGGACATATGTGATTATATAATATGCGCATAAAATACGATTAATTTTCATCAAATTCACATGATTTATACAGCATTTGTGTGTGCATTTTTAAGTGAATAATAAAAGCATATGTAATAATCATCACAATTACCTTTTATGCATCATAATTATCACAATTGCCATTTATATATTATAATTATAATTGTTATGTCATTATTATTTAATAAAAGATAAATTAAATCGATTTTAATATTAAAATTTTACTATTCCAATTTTAATGATGGGAAAAGTAAAAGTTACAGCTTTAGAACACGTTAATTCCAATAACTATAAAGATAATTTCTATGAATCAAATGATAAAATGTTTGTATTACATATAAACATGTCATTAGTCATGCTAAAAAATCTACAATCGATAATTATCTAAATTCTGCATCACATAAAAAAAGAAAAAATATGAAGTTATTTTCAAATCAGCCAAATATTGAAGAAAAACAAGATATCAATTTGGCATTAGCTAAAGCATTCATAAAAGCCAATATTCCACTTGAAAAAATTAATAAATTGCAAGATTTTTTTAAGGAATATTGTATCAGAAATAAATTAATTAATATATATTAATAAGATGTATTAGTATACTAATATAAAATTTTTAATTATAGGTGATAAATAGTTAGTGCAAATCAAATATATAAACATTATCTTCTACAAATTTTTCAAAATGAAGTAGATGAATTAAAGAATAGTCTAATTGATTAATTTATTTCAATTATTATTGACGAAACTACTGATGTCTGTAGTTACAGTGCTATGAATATTTTATTTAGTTTTCAAAATCAAACTAAGTTAGTAAAAACAGAATATCTAAATAGCGTCAATTATTTCACAATTTCCCAACTAATTTTAACAACCTTGAGTTTTTATAATATTTCCTTTTCTAAAGTTATCCTGTTTATTAGTGATAATGTAGCATATATGAAAAAACCTTATTCAAATATATTAGCTTATTTAATGCTACAACTTAAACATAATTGCTGTTTTGCCCACATCTTAAGTTTAGTTGAAGATTGCTGAATATATTTTGACAGTTTTAAACTTCTTGCACATGTGACTTCAAATATCAAAGGTGCATTTTCTTATTCACTTATCTATAAAAAAAGATAGTTAAAATTTCTATCTTCAAACATTGCTTCGTCGAATTCTTTTGATTCATTATCCTTAGAATTTTTAAAACTTAATTTACAATTATCTCCTTTGTTTGTAAAGACTTGTTGGAATAGCTAGTTTAATTTTGTAATTTGGTTGAAACCATACTTTTTGTATTTGGTTCAATTTATTATTACAGAAAATACACTTGGCGATCCTCTAAAATCAATTAAAGAATTGGTTGGAATTTTATTAAATCATGAAAATATTTTAATAATTGAAATGATTATTGAATCTATTACCTTAAATGCTTAATGGTATGTATTTATTATATATAAATATATATTTATTATTACTAATTACTAAATAAGTTATTGCTATTTATTAGACTAATTCAAGATTTAGAATTTTTTAAAATATGTAATAAACCCTCTTGTATATAATTTTTAGCCTCTAGCACGAGTTATAGTGCATTTTGTTTTAATTTTATGTTTTTATTTTTGTTAAGACTCTCGCATTTAATAGTAGATTGTTACTCTGTATAATTAGAAGTTTTCACCTGGTTAGCAGGTTTTCTTCTTTTTAGCGATAGTTTCTTTTAGATTTTTAGGTTAGTTTTTTATATTCCTTAGTATTAGTATTCGTTTTCTTTAATGTATTTGTTTTTATTATATACCCTTTTTTCGTTCCCTATTATTTCCTTTTTTTCTTTTTTCCTTCTATATGAGAAGGTGTCATCAGTTTGGCGGCATTCTATTGTAGAGCGGGAATCTTGACGAGGTGAGCAACAGCCAGCCAAGGAATCTGAGGGAAATAAGTCCAGAGTGAGTTTCAGATCTCTGGAGGAGACCAAGTGTTGCTAGGCAGGTCGCATTTGGGCAAAACACAGCGGTTTAATAGTTCGCCCTAACTGCAAATAGATGTTTTGGCATCTGCGAGATATGCCGGGAGTGAGTTTACTCTTTGGTTAGAACACTTATAGATTTTAGATTTCTTCGTATACCGATGTAGTAATGAAAGTCTGTTTCTATAATAAAGTAAACAGAATTGCCAAAGGAAAAAAAAAATACATAATAAACCTATAGCAGCTTATGTTTTCTCCTAAATTAATCATACTTGTGCACTGCTACAAGCAGATTTCAACAATCCTCTATTTAATACAGATATATTAAACAAGATTCAAGAAAGAAGCTTAAATTTAATGTTTTCCAAGTTAATTTTCTCACAAGCTTTTCAACTATCATTTGATAAATTTGCAAAGCATGCTGATAACCATTCTGCATTATTACTTTTTAAAGTCATACAATGCTTCAATCCTAAATTCATTTGTTATTCAATATCAAGACAAAATATCAAACTTTATATCAAAATTGATGATTTTAAAAATTTAAATGATGATCTGTTAAATGAATAGAACATTTATTATAAATTAGATGAAGAATTGGATAAAAATCTAAATTTGGATCAATACTGGAAAGAGAAATCTAATGATTTACCTTCTCTTTCAAAAATCGCTTTATTTTATATATGGTTACCCATTTCTGGTGTTGATATAGAAAAAAGTTTTAGTAATTATAAAAATATTCTAAGTGATAAACAGCATAATCTTTCACAAAATTCTTTATCTATATTAAATTTACTTTTTATAATAGGGCTATTGATATTTAATTTGATAAATAATTTTTTTTCACTATGTAGATTTTTTTATTAAATTCTTATAGACAAAATTTGTAATTATTATGATAACAATAAATATTGTATTAATATGTATATAATTATGTATATGATTACTTGTATAAATATCGTATAATTTAAATCATCACATCGCATAGCAATGCTTTTCAATGTACATAAACTGTGGTCTCTAGTTTAATTGTAATGTTTGTAGTTGATATTTGTACTATTAGGTCTTTTTTTATAATTGCTGTTTTTATAGTTGCTTTGTAGATTCCAAAGGTGTAGATTCCAAAAGGTGTAGATAACAATTGGTTGACAAGGTATGTGGGAGTTTGAACTATATTTGTAAAGTCATGATCTAATTGTTTTTCATTAATAATAATGTTTAGTGTACAAGCATGTGGTACTACAGTAATTAGCATTAGCAGTGTTGTCAGCAGAGCTTTCTTTTTAGATGGCCAGGTTAAATTTGAGACTTAAAGGTCGAGAGGTGTGTTAGTTATTGTTCAGCATAGTGTTTCAATCCACAATCCTACAATTCAGATTTATACAACAATTCGGATTAGAATACAGATATTCTAATTTGTTTATTTTAATGGATAAATCCTTAATAAAAGTCAAATTAAGGATAAAGATTACACAGATCCTAATTCTAGATATATATAAGTGGCGTAAAGCTATTAAATTAGCGAGATACTTGTTATAAACATGAACAACTTAAGTAAGAATGTTTAAAATTTTCAGGCAAGTTACCTCATTCAACTCTGCATTCTTGATTTCAAGTTGGCAACTTGTTTGAGAATCCTAAATCTGAATTAATTCTGCACAATTCAAAAATTAATTTTGTCTTTTAAAATAAAAATAGTACTGATCTTGATCAAGCTTACTGATTAAATTTATCTTTTAATGGCTTTATATTAGCTTATTATCAGTCACAAATTGCTTATATGCTTGTATTTAATGACTTATTTATATATTAATAAATAGTCCATTTCTCGATTTTAAAAATCAGATGATAAGTGTGAATTAAAAACGGCAAAATTTTTTTTTCAAAAAAAAAAGACCAGATACAGTATTATGCCAAGCTGGTTCATATTATTTTATTGTTTTTTTTATTTGCTTCTAAAAAGTACAAATCAAGTTACAGACCCTAAATGAGGATTACTATAAACTCTAATAGGGTTTATACTCTCAATGAAAGTAAATAATTTTCGAATGAAGAAAAATCTAATTATATAATTAAAAGATTTTAGGTTGATAAGAACTGCTCTAAAGTTCTAGATAGATTGCATATATATTCAAAATATGAATATATTCGTGTTATTAGTGTAATGCATTAGAAAATTCACTAATAAAGTAAAAATGTTGCTATGAAAATCATTAAAATTACCACTGTTCTTGTAATTCATCAATGTTATAATTCCTGAGATCGGTGTTTGTCAGTTTTTAAAACTCTTAATTAAAAAAAATATATATTTTAATTGATCCAAATTTTCTCTGATTATAACTTAAAGAGTGGTATAATTTTAAATATCGTTCTAAAAAAGGACTAATGAGTCATTGCACCAAGGTCAGGTATATGATAGAATTGGTCTAATTTTTGGTTTCTTAAAGTCTGTTAAAGAAAACATGAGAATGTGTATATATGCGAAATAAGTTTATCGGTATTGGCAATATAATAATTTATTATAAAATATTGTTGAAGGAATTAATAATCTAGATTTATAAAAGATGATAAAACTTACAAATCAAACGTACTGAATTTTGCTATATGCTAGTCTCTTTGAATATCTGATATAAGTTGATACAAACCTTAGATAAAATAGAAGATAATTCTGAATATTACTATAAGATAATAGAAGATGATTCTAAATATTATTATAATAATGATTTTATCATAGAAACTGCAAAAAATTCAGTAGTCCCATCTGAAATTTCTTGTTCGTTAGAAACTGCTACATCTAGTATCCAGCCTATGCCTCTTTTTACGTTATCTTTAAAAGATAAAGAAAAAGTGTTAATATTAATAGTAATAAAACTAAAGATTTTTAAGATAAATAATAAATTTACTAATGCATTTTTGCTTTAGCTAAAAAATCTAAAAAAAGGTATAACCATAAAGAGCTATCATTTACTTACGAATACTTTGAAACAACAGTCAATCAAAAAGGTGACGAAGTACGAGTCTGCAAGGTCATAAATGAAGATGGCAAAAAATGTGGCCCAGAATATAAAAATGTAGAAAGTTCAACAGGAAATCTTATTATGCACTTTAGAGACACCCACGAAATTGTTTCGCAAAATGATAGAGAAAATATAAAAAAGGTATTATAAATAAAAATAAGATATAAATAAATCTTGATATAAGAAAATGGTTAGAATAGGGTGTGGCGACTTAGTGTAGTTGGTAAGTTGTCGCACCCCCAAGTGGCAGGACAAGAGTTCGAATCTCACTGGTGACGAAATTCGAATTTGCAGAAATGCGTTATGATAAAACTGTATGACATATCAATCAGGTAAGCATCTGTGACTTTGGTCTCACCAACTCGCATTAGGAGGTTGTAGAACGTAGTGTGACACATGAGTTACAAGAAACCCAAGTGAAGCAGCCAAATAAATCCAAGGGATCGGGGATACGGAAGCCTGCTTGGGAAGTCCCGAGTAGAGAGGTAGCACAGATCTTTGATGGTACTATGTAAAGGATTATCATCTGGGGAACCAGACACTATAGGCAAACTGAACGAGGACCGAGTGATTGACAAGCACTACATTAACCAGGCCGCCGGACCAGCCAGAAGAAAAAGGATTCATTCGGAATACCAGGTGACGCCCACTGGTCCCTTCCGTGTCATCTGTATTAGAAGTTTGGGGCACCAATGGTTGGCATCGAAGTACTGTTAATAGTCTGTAAAGTGGGTGCTGGGGTTTGGGTGAACTTTGCAAAGGCACAGAGTAGGTAATGGTAGCGGAGGTAAAAAGCTGCAAGTACTTGGCCGCGGTCTAGCTGTAAGTTACCAAAAATCTAGGTGATATATATATGGGACATGGACCGCTCTAGTAGGTTTACCACGAGGATAAAGTAGTCCTAAAAGGCCTTAGCAGCAGTTCCTCTTTGGAGAGAATATCCTGATAGCGCTAAGTTGATCAGAGGGTTTAATTGGGTAACTCAAGTAATAATGTGTTATAGGTACGACATCTAGTGTAGTTCATATGGGTTACATATGCAAGACTGCTTAAATAGACAACTAAAAGTTGTACACATGGCTAGTATGTATCCTCATTAATGTAACAAAGTCAGGGGTAGACCTGTGGTTGCCCTGGCTTTTGATCCAAGTTTAATAAAACATGCTAGACCCCAAAGTGGTCACCTTAATATTAAAAAAAAAAAAAGAAAATAGTTAGATCTATAATAAAATTTTAACACCTTTCTTATAAAGGGTCTATTAATAATTTTCTTATATCAAGCAGATTTTTATACATAGTGTTACAGCGGTATTTTTAAAGAAGGTGTTTAAGAAGAGCAGAGAGAAGATTTAAGCAGAAGGATTTATTTACTTGTTTTAGAGACAATAAAGATATTACAAGGTCATTAGAACAAAGGGAATATTA